AGTTTTTCTGCCATATCTGCTACTTCACATAGACGGGGGGCAAATCCTCGCGAGTCTAGGTCAAGAATGTATCGTACGATAGTTTGCTCTTCAGATTTAGTTAGCTTCTGGCAATTTGGCTGCGTCGTAGGTCGAAAGGTGATTCCTTGAAGCCGCCGAGAGATCTGCTGATGATGGACGTTATAGGCTGCTGCAGCGCGTCGAATGCTCTTAAACTGGCCTGTACGATAGGCCTGAACTGCTAGAGTAAGCCTACCCTCTTGCTGAGTAAATATCACGTTCTGTTGTTGAGGCATTGTCTTTCGTACGTGAAGTTCGCGATGCCAAGAAAAAGTGGCACTCTCGGTGGGGTGGCACTCTCGGTGGTGGAATACGTTATTATTAAAGTATAATAAAAAAATCTTAATTAGGCGTATATTAAGCTTAAAGCCTTACTAGTAAGCTTTACTATAAATTAAGTTAATTATATATAGTAATATACTAATTATTTCTATAACTTTACATATAGATTTGCTACTAAAAGGTAACTTTAACATAATAATAAAAAAGTAAGTTAATATATCTATATTTAAAGCTATAGTAGATTAAAAACACTTAAGAAATAAGTATATAAGCTATTGCTAGCTTCAAAAAATTAGTATAGGCGCTAAAAGTAGTTAGGCTAATAGGCTAGCGGCTTAGCGTGGCGCTAGCAAGAACTTTTGACAGTCACCTCCGTATATAGTCTAGAATGGAGAGATGTAACTTATTGTAACAACGGGCTGGGTGATTTGATGTGGACGAAGGAGATGGGTTGTGCGATGTCTAAACACCCCAAATCTAGGCCGCGCATCTTAATTTCGCTTTGTATACTCTTTGCACGAAGCATACCCGAGGCTGCATGCCGGTTTGCGCAGTGCATGTAGGGAGGGTCAAGGGCGAGTGTGCGGGCCAATGATCATCGGCAGTTCGCACCAGCCCGGAAGATCCGGGGCGGGACTCCCGGGATATCCGGAACCTCCTCCACTCTCCGACTGTGAAGTAACTCTCCCAATCGGTATTCGCGCGTCGCTTTTACATCCCACCTTGACAGTCACTCCACTGTGCAGATCGTCTCAAAGATTCCGCCGCAAACATGAGTACCCTTTCATCTTTACGTGTGGTTTACAAAGTTGTCGACGGGCAGGAAATCGATGCTGACGTCTACATTCCTGACCCTAAACGCCACATTTCCAAACCAGTCCCTGTTTGTAGGTGGATTTCATCCCAAGTGGTCTCTCCAAGTCTAATCTTCGATGCACGTAGTGATCAATATCCATGGCGGGGCTTTTATGCTGGGCTCATCCAAGATGGTGAACCGTGACCAGATAAAGGACTGTCTGGATAGAGGCTGGCTTGTGATAGCACCTAACCACCGCCTCTGTCCTCAGGTCAACATGATTGAAGGGCCAATGAAAGATTGTAGAGACCTGTTGGCATGGATTTATGATGGAGGTCTCCAGCAGTCCCTTTCCACCAACGGACAACAATCACTCACTCTTGACTTGGATCACGTGTTTTCCTTTGGCACTTCCTCTGGGGGAACATTAGCGCTGAGTTTGGTAGGGATTCCATCTATTTTACGACTCGACAAGACTGACGATTGCAGGGCTTCGATGTTCCCCGTCCGGTAGCTGGCATATACGACATGTACGGACCTTGCAAGTTCGACGATGTCTGTTGGACCACAGAGCTTACTTACCTGGCTGAAAAGCTACCCAGTGGACTCGAAGACTCGTTCATGAATCGTATCTTCGACGAGCAGCCAGTGCCAATTCAAGGCGGTGTCTCCCTCGAAGGTCAGGCACCTGGACCGCCTGATTTCACTGATCCTCGGCAAGCATATGCCATGACACGTGTCGCGCGTGGCCAGGTCATTGAGAATATACTGCAACCCCAAGAGTATCAGCGAGCAGATCCCCTCAAGAATATTTCAACTTTGTTCCCACCTACATTCATTGTGCATGGCACAGCCGATACAATGGTACCGATATCCGTTAGCCGAGCGCTGTTTGCCGAGTTGCAAAAGAATTATGTCATCTGCGGTATGGCAGAGATACCAGGTGAAGAGCATACATTTTCTGTGACAATGCAGGTTGGGTCACGTACTTGGGACCTGCAGCGGCAGGGTTTCGACTTTTTGCAATCTTTGATCAGGTAGAAAGATAGAAAATATGTGAATTATGAGGTTATTTTAGGACAATATATAAATGAAGCCAAACGTGCATGTTCGCCTGCCACTCCTGCATTCCGATTGGATTGCGTGTCTTTGCTCCCAATCTTCTTTTAAATGCACCAACACTTGCTCACTGCAATCCCGGCCTGCAGCCTCCCGGCATAGCTCTGTCTGATATCATCGGAAATCTAGCAAAGCGCCTGATAGCAGGGGGGGTCTCCCCAGACTCATGCAGTCCCTAGATTGCGGGGAAGTAACCCGAATCTAGCATTTACCCCGATCTTGATCAAGATTTGTGGGGTAAACGACCGCGGAAATTCCGAACATGCTTGAAAATGGTTGAAATGATATGGACGAGCTGGCGCGTACATCCACTTGCGAAGTAGACCCATGAAGTGTTCGAGGATGTTTCAGTGGAGCCTGTCCCCTATAAAACAATGCCATTCTTCCAGGGCGACTCCAATTTCAAAGAACTGATGAGTTCTCTTCAGTAGAACCCCTTTGAGCATTCGAACAAGCAGACGGCGTTCATTAGCTATCTGCCGTAGCCATGGCAACAGTTTCGGACGTCAAGTATGGTGGAGACGTCACCGGTAAGAACGAGACGAAGCAAATCGAAGAGTTTATACCTCAACCTACTGAAAATGCGTTATCGGCCTGGCAATGCATCCGTCAAAACCCTAAGATCACTCTATGGGCGATTTGGGCCAATAGTGAGTATACCCGCCCGATTCACTGGAGAATCAAATGCTGATACCAGAATAGTCGGCTCCATCATGATCGGCTACGAGAATCTCGCGCTATCCGTCTGTCTGGCAATGCCAGCCTTCCAGTAAGAACAGTATAGCTCTCGTCCCTATCTAGTCTTATTAAATACAGGAAAACGTTTGCCTCTGAGATCAAAGGCGTGTTGTTGATTCCGGCACACTGGCAATCATTATGGAACGCCATGTTCAACGTTATGACCATGGTGGGATCCCTAGCCGCTGGACCTATCCAAGACTGGTCGGTCGTCGAGCCATATTCCTCACGGTTGCTATCTTCGCGTCTGTAGGTGTAGCAGTCGCATTTGTCTCAGAAAGGCCTGCAACATACTTGGGAGCAAAGATTCTTACTGGATTCGCGCTGGGCGCCTGGACCGTCGGCACACAGACGTTTGTATCAGAGATTACGCCACTGCCTATGAGAGGCATCGCTTTGTCCATCAATACTGTTTTAATGGTAGGTTCTTGATTCTACCAAGAGTATGCTTTCGGCTGATATATTTTCAGAACCTCGGCCTTCTCATTGCCATTTCCGCCACGTTCAGCCGCCTCACGATAATGGATCCAATAGCCTTTCGAGTCGTATTTGCGGGTGCTTGGGCTTTCCCTGCGGCGATTCTCCTAGGCCTTTTATTCGTTCCCGAATCCCCATACTGGCTTGTGATGAAAGGCAAACACGAGCAGGCCCGCAGATCGCTCACGCGGCTCTCTCCAGCTGGAGAAGAAATCGAAACACGCCTCGTGAATATTCAACATACAGTAGAGCTGGAGCGCCGTCAGCAAGGAGAAGCAGGCTCGCTCATCGAGTGTTTCTACGGAACCAATCTCCGTCGCACCCTTATCACACTTATTTGCTTCTACATGTCGATGACAGTGGGCTCGGTGCTTTCGGCCAACTCACCGTATTTCTTGAATCAGTCGGGCCTGTCGTCAGACACTGTACTCACAATCACCCAGGTTGGCGTCAGCATGGGTGTTTTATCAGCCATTGTCAATCTCTTCCTCATGATGAAGTTCAATCATCGCATACTCATGTTTTCCGGCGTGGGCATCTGCGTAGTAGCATACCTGACCATGGGCATTGCTGGTGCGATGCGAAGAACCACCACGACCATGACCGTTGTGGGGATCGCACTGCAGTTCTCGACGTTGTCCTACGGACCTGCCGTCGGCGCTTCCATGGCTGTCGCGGGAGAAGTCTCTTCCACGCGCCTCCGCGCAAAGACACTGGCCCTCGGAAACGGGTTTGCGGGTGTGGCAGGCACTTTCTGGATGGCTGTTCTGCCTTATCTCTACAATACGGACCAGGCTGATCTGGGCGGGAATCTGGGTTGGATTTTCTTTGGCATTGCTGTCATATATGTTGGTTTCCTATATTTCTTCGTCCCGGGAACAAAGGGACGAACATTTGAAGAGCTGGATATCATGTTTGAGAAGAAGCTTCCTGCGAGGGCTTTTGAAAATTATCAACCGCAGGAAAATGAGGCTTGATGTGGTTCTGCTTCAAGTGGTTGTTTCTTGCATCGATTTCGGCAATCTGCGATTTATGATATAGCCCTAAGTTGAAAAAGATACCACATAATAGCATTGCATTACTTTGAACAGCAAAGGTCTTGTCAGCTTGAGATTCTCAGACAATTGACAATATGAAATTAATATTAACCTTCAACTGTAAAGCAACTATTTCTAGGTCGTGTGTTTCTTGGTCGACAAGTTTATGTTCACGCCATAATGTACATAGGTTGGATGCCTCATACACCAAAACAAAACCTGGCAGAAGAGCCACTTAGTTTTACATCTGAACCAATTGGCCAGGCTTGAACCTCGCCCTATTGATTGTTTGACAAGCTGGGAAGCGGATTCTCCTTGATGGCATCCTCCACTTCCTGATAAGCATCATAGCCGTACAACCATGGCTGCACCTCTGGACATGTCCAACGACTCGGAAAGGGACCTTGTAGCTCTTTGCCAAGTTGTGACAGGAAAATTGCGTCTCGTGCTTCTTGTTCGGGTCCATCAAACATGTGGAATGATTCTCTCTATCACATGATTAGCGTCTAGTTGTATTTAGCAACATGTGCCTGGAGATATTACCTGCTTGAAGGTCTCGCGTACGATGGATTCGCCGCGAGCCTTGCGTAAGCTCTGGTACGTCTTCAGAACATGTAGTACATGGTCCTTGGATTCGATGTGTCCGAGGAGTAGTCCCAGAACAGCACCATCTTCAACGGCCGAGTTGGCACCTTGCGCCAAATACGGTAGCATTGGATGGCAGGCATCGCCCCTACGGCACATTACCTTGAATGGAAACAGATATAAAGTATGAGGACGTACGTAAAGACTAAGTTGGATTGGTCATTGACCCAGGATGTCATCTCGTCTCCTACAGCCTGTCAGATACATATAACTATACCACGATGGGTTTTCTTACGATGCATCAGCTTCCACTTATCGACAGTGTCAACAAGGGATAGGAACCGCGCTAAGATGGGGTCCCACCCCTGGAACAGAGCGTTCATTTCCTCAACGGACCCAGGTTGACGACTGACACCTGAAGGGAGATCGTCGGGAACAAGGAGCACGAGATTGTACATCTTGCCGTCACGAACAGAATATCCCACTGCGTGTGCACCTGGACCAATCCAGAAATGGCAAGCCGGCTTTGATACCCAACTACGCAGCTCAGGGTCGTCGATCTGTTCGATTTTCAAGACGATACGGTAGGCCAAATCACCAGTTGGTTTAGGAGGATCGTTCCGCCCTAGGAATTGCGACCGACAACGCGACCAAAGCCCGTCAGCAGCAACAATAAGGTCTGCGACACCACGGGACCCCTGCTCAGTTGAAATCACGGGCCGTGCGTGCTCCAATTCTAGTTCGGATATCCGTGATGCAAAGTGAAACTTGACACCCAGGTCTCTGGCGCGCTCATACATAGCTTTCTGAAGATCGCAGCGGTGCATATCCAGGAATGGAGCACTGTATCGGTTGCGGATATTCTGTTTGAACGTCTCGTCATGAGCAAGTATGGTGCCCGTGTACCGATGAACAGTCAGTGTAGCTGGTTCTGCCCCGGAAGCCCAGAATTCGTCGCTAAGGCCATATCGTTGGAGGATCTTGGTGCAGTTGGGCGTCAGTTGCAGTCCAGCGCCTACTTCGGCAAGCTCTTTTGCGGCTTCGTATACAGTAACATTGTGACCAGATTGAGCGATGGAAATGGCTGCAGCTAGTCCGCCTAGTCCAGCACCGACGACAATGACGTCTAACTGAATGGGAGATCTGTGATGAATTGGTGGCGCTGAAAAAGACGCCATTGCCCTAGCGAAATGATGGTGTATGGAAATCCGTTTATTCGAATCGACCAACGGGCAGTGCATATGAATTGGGCTTTCAACTTGTGTATGCTCGGTCGAATTCCATGCGTGTAGAGAGCATGCCCCGCAAGGATGCGACTCATGTTCGGATATCCCTAGCGGCTAGTTGTGTTCGGATAATCCGGCTAAAATACCCGGCTTTTCCGGACGTTTGATTAACCATCGCCAAATCAATGTGGCTGCTTTCGGGGTGATATATACGACCGAAGATTCGAACTGCTTCCAACTAGATTTTCTACCATGGCGCCAAACGGACCTTTTAAACTCGTGACTGTGAATACCGCTCCCAAAAGAGCAAAGATCCTCATTGGCCGTGTTGTGGACATATTGAAAGATGAGTATACAATTGAGTATGTAGCAAACTGCAGCAGTAAGTGAAGAGTCGTGATAGGAGTAGATGTGTGCTGACAAGATGCCCCAGGCAAAGACGAGGTTGCCGGCGTGGTTGAAACGTATCGTCCCGACGTACTGGTAAATTAAAATATGAAACTGTGTAACGGGCTGAACGCCCTTCGCCTCCCATACTCGTCTACGACCTCGTTTACTCCACCTGCCTGGCCTGATTGTTACCCTAGCAACTAGCATTGTATATAGATAGCTACGTAGCCGAGAGCTTAGCTCTCTATCGAATACAATCTTGTTACCTTGGCCTGTCCGATCGTGCTCCCGAGCTTAAGACTACCCTCCGGGGTCGAGCCCCTTACAAACTGCATATTCTGAAGTAATACGGAGGTGCCTCACAAAAGTTTTGTCCCACGCTAATCTCGGCGCTTCGGCATAACTCTTCTTGGCGCAACTCCCACCTTTGAGCTGAGTAGCTGTACGATTTGTCTGTATCTATCGTTACAATGTCTCCTAATACTGATCCTTACACCCGCACCTTAATTGTGGCGTTAAAGTCACCTTCTGTTGGCAAGTCTACATCACAGATCTCTGAACTTACTGGTGTTCATCCTCGTACGGTCAATCGTATCTATAGTAGAGCTATTGAGGCTGGTTTCGAGCCAAACGTTCTCCCTCTTAAGATCCTCCCAGAGCACGTACAAGACGCCCCTCGCTCTGGCCGACCTTCAAAGCAGACGGATAAGGTAAAGGAGCAGATAAGTCCAACAAGT